AAAGATAAACGTGGGATAAAACGTTAGTTACAGCTAAAGAAAAACTACCTTACTGTTGATTTGTTCTAGAACAAAATATGTAGATACTATTTAATAGATCAATTAAGTTAAGGTCATGCTTTGTCTCGTCTACTTTTATTATCTGTTGCCCTATTAGCTATGTAATGACTTAATTATTAAATCCTTGTTTTGAAATATATAAGAATAATATGAATGTGTAGATTCAGGAAAACTAAATTTATATTTAACCCCTCGGATTTTTTAACATGCTTGTTAATAGAAGTGAGAAACTAAAACTAGATCTAGCAAGGCTTTGGAACCACTACCCTAACCTTTGTATTAAGCTAAAAACGCAATATTATTACAGTTAAAAGTACTTTTTTTTTAAAGTAAGTGAATGTAGTATATACTTAACACATGTGCAAGAACTTGAGCGACCAAAGACGTCACAATCAAACGAATGTGGTAAAATACCAATTAATAGGCTAGAAATAGGGTTGTATCTAATTACTTATCGATATTTGACGAATATGTTGAGCAACGTTACCAATCAATCAAATGCCAGCCAGACTAAGGTGTGGCGCTGTCATGCTTGGTTCAATGAGTTCTGTAGAATGTCAGGGTTCAGAATGTCCTTTTCACAAACTTCTTACACAGATCAGAATAACTATGCGTTTAGGAAACTGTAAATGTGGAAAGGGGCGCAACACGATGGCGTACACGGTTTTTTTTTTGACAAAAAGATAATTGATTGCGACCATGTGCACAAATATGCTGATGCTTAGTTTTATCTTTCTTACAGAAGTGTACATTGTCTTTGTTTGTACTTGCAGTATGTCGATTATATAGATGGAAGATTAACTGAAAGCAAGCATGATTCAAATGTTTTAAAGTAAATCAGCACAACACAACTGCAATAAGTTATCATTTCACCCTCCTGGGCTACGGCGAGTTCTTTAACAATGTTGACATGAAAACTTGCTGCAGCTTGGTAATTTAATTTAAACTTAATCATATTGCTAAAACCGACAATATTGTTAACATGTGCGTGGTTTAGCAAAGGTTGTGTGCTTTGTCTTAAGTACTGTTAGGTACCTCTTCCAGCATTTCGAGGCTTACATTTAACGATCCATTGATTGCGTCGATTTATCGCAAGGCAACGTAAGCAGTTTGACCTTTGGAAATGTGTCTTATTTTATTGATATTTCTTCTTTACGGTCTAGTAAAGCAGTCGACATGTTTCAACTTTAATATGAGGTTCCAGAAATCAACATAGACATTTAATAAATAGTATAATTTTATCTACGATTCTGTCATCTAAAATAGGAAGTCCATCCACAATCAAATGCTATGATTGAAAATGTTTAAAACGTGTCTATGAGGCTACAAGCAAAAAATGGTAAAGAATAATTTGACTTTTTGTGGCAACGAAATCGGGATCACCAACCACATCTTCCCTCACCCCCCCCCCCCCCCCCCCCACCACCACCGGGAATAGTGATAGGAATTAGTGAAAAGGGCCTTCTGGGTTCTTAAGCTGGTCCTTATCGGATATATACTGGATACGAAGCAGGGAAGCATCCTTCACACGTCCTTCGTAGTTTTTATAAGAGAAACTCAATAAATGTGTTCCTTGTGTGTGTTGATCAATAAATCTTGTTAGTTCAAGTCTGTGACAACAATCAATGCTTGCAGCATTTGACTTAAATCGATGCTAAGAAGGTGCCATAAATGACAATACGTAACTGAAGGCAATTTAACCACAGATCTCCCTATCTTCACACGCCAGTCTCTTCCTCCTCCCTTTCACAAACTATGAAAACACATTTATTGTGGGAATTATGTTTTCATTTTTTGGAAACTTAAAATCGAAATTAATCTTGTCACTTGACCCCAAAGTACATTGTCGCAAATCACCCCCCCCCCCCCCCAGCTGGTATGTGTCCTGTAAGTTGAAGCTTAAAAAGATGTCTTATTTTTCTAAACGATTATATTTTAACTGGTGTAATAGGGATGTAACTTAATACTAGGCCTATACAATACCCATAACGTTCGCGGTACACTCGGGTAAGAGTAACCTAGCCAATAACATGTCAGACAACAGCCGTTAACCCGCAGGCTTCAATCAATTGAAGGACGAGTCGCAACAAACATCAGTGACAGGCCTCATTTCATTTGCAATCTAGTGCTCACTCACAGCTTGTCCGGGGTCTCATGGTAATATAATCAATTTACTATCTGTATCCACTCATAAAAGAGGGAAATGCTAGGGGGGGGGGATTTCCACGATCTTTCCCAGCGCTAAGTGTGCTTAAAAGTCTGTACTAAAATAATTCTAAATGTTAATCGCAATTGGATTAAGATAAGTATAAACCGGAGCTAATATTTGCTTCCATTGATTAATCTAGACAAAAATGACGTTAAGTTGTGTCATACTTTCTTTTCTCCCATTCTGTAGTTCGTGGTTACGGTTGCTGCAAGCAAGCTTCCTCTAGAGGCCTTACGTTATTTGGAAAACAGATTCTGGGAGCGCAATATTAAAGGGATTGTAAAGCGTGTAATACAACATAGCTCCTTTTCCTCCAAAAAAGTAACACAGTTTGTACTTTAAGTAATTCCTTAATATAATATAGATTTTGTCCTTGTTTTTGATTTCATATAAACTGAAAAGTATCTCGTCGGAATTTAATCTGGTGTGTGAAGGAGGGGAGGGTGGTAAATACTAACACAGCTGCTGTAGAATCATATTCTATTATCAATGGTAAGCAAGAGGCTTCTAATGGGTTAGGTAAGCAGTTACGCAGCCCCCATAGCTTTGTTGGCTGACAATTCTTACATACTCTGCTGTTTGGCAAACTTCCTAAATCTCTGTGTACAGCATATAAAACTGTAGCGCAAGCTTAACATCCTAAATAAAATGCCGCTGACAGAAAAGGTATTGTTCTAGCAAAAATAACTAGGCTTAAAAATAAGTGTGATAAATAATAAATGTTCTATTTCACCTTTTTATTTTAAGTCAAAAATAAATGACGGGGAAAAAAATCGATTTACCTCAGCATATGGAGAGAAAAAAGTTATTAATTAAATGTGTATGGCTTCTTGCAGGCGAGCCGATGAATGGCACAATAAGGGAGTATCGATAAACGATTGATAAGGATTCTTTTCTGAAGCTAAAACTATTACTTGTGGAAAAATATGAAGACCAAGTTATAAAACAACGATAATTGTATACAGGGAGCAGGATAAAAATAACGTGGACTGATCATAATTGCTTCATGTGGTGTCTATTAATGACAAGATAAGAGTAGACAGGTTAAGATTGCGTGGTGGCTTGCTTGTATGCTGTGCCCACAATAATCTTCTGCAGAATATGTAAAATGTAAACAAAGAGTTTACACAGTTGGGGCACGCAAGCTGATATAAAGGAACTAGACGTGTGTAACAATGTTGACGATGTGGAACAATAAACATTGGTGACGTGAGTAGGTCCGTGTTCCTGCATGAAAGTAGGTTACGTGACTAAGTGTATTATGATGAATCTTTTCAATATTAAAGCCTTTGTGAACAGATGTGCTAAACACGAAGACTTTTTAAAAATAATTTATGTGCTACTTTTAGTTCAGTTTAGTCAATAGCATTTACCGATTTAAGATCACATATTTATACGTTATTTCTGATCCAAAAAAAAAAGCTGTGCATTAAACACTAACTCGCCTAAAGGTAAACAACTGAGTGTGCAAGCAACAACGGGATGGTCATGAGAGAAAAGAAATCAATATGGCATTTTTAGTATCCACAACGTGACGCAGTATACATTAGCGCAAAAAAATGCAGATATACTCAGCTTTTCTAACAATGAACCTTGGAAAAGGATATAGGCATGACTTAATGCTGGATTCGGTGTCACGCGGTGAGGTTAACAAAGGGCAGCAATACAACTCGCAGTCATTTATGGTAATCCGTTGCCTTACCAACGAAAAGATCATCTTCTATTTGTCATTCTCAATGGTATGTTGGTTGTTCAGGTCACCTACTTGATTAAAGCAGTCCAACGTAGTAGCCCTCCAGTAGTGTTTACTAGCAAGCTGAATGGCAACAACAGATGGACTGCCCACAAGTTACCCCACTCTATCAAACGTATTTAACGGATGAAATAAGAGACCTTAGAATTTATTCACATCTGGTTTCTATTCAAATACATATGTGACATGGTGGCTTTTGCGAACACCTCAACACCTGGGCCACTCAGTTTCAAAAAGTGATCGCTGGATTCAATATTTGTGTAATGTACTCATGAAACAGCTTGTGGAAATCATTTCTCAACTCTTTAACCACAGAGAAAAACTAACTGGTCACTTGGGATACAAGCTGATCAATAACCGTGTTATCTCTGAATTTCTCATTTTTATGTGGTTCTAATTCATTCTATTCTTTAAATGGATGGTAATCATCAACTTGAAAACAATTTGACAGGGACCTGATAGCTCTAAAACATTTAGCAGGAAGAAAAGGATTTGGTCTACAATATTAGACTGTTAGTTAACATGCTTAGTGTTTCAGTATCATCAATAGTAGAGATTAAATTAATGCTAATGTAAACCTAAATCTACTCTATGTTTCATTTGATTCACTAGTGTGAGTAAACTTACAACTTGTTTGCTTTAGAGTCAAAAAGTAAACTTCTGTTTGGAATTCAAAAGTAATTGCTTAAGTGTCTACCCAATATGCTAAAAGTATTGCAAGGGAATAAAATGAAAATTTTCAAGTTACAATAATCTTAAGAGCTAAAAGGATTTCAAAATTCCAATGGCATCTTGTTGAAGCAGAGGGAACAATGTTTCGCATTGTCAATAGAGAGGTGAGGTTTTTGTTTACTTTATACAATACTTTATAACAATGTAACAAAATTCACAAGATAAACCATAAAAGAATGATATTTTCCATTTAAGTACAGACAAAACCAAGAATTAAAACAACCATGCAGGTGTAAAAGTACTCACAATTCTGGCCACAAAAAGTGTCTTAAATGGGTCCATAGTACAACTTGCATTACTGCCAGGGTCCCCTGTAAAAAGCACATTTGACTAAAAACACACAGTTTCAAAAACATGTAAATTAATTTCCTTAACACAAGTGCAACATGAATAGAAACAATGCCAAGCATGAAGGAGTTATTTTTGGGTTGTGCAGACTGTGCCAAACCTCCAGAAATTCTAATCATCATATAAGAAAAAAGCATTACCTATAATATTACTTGCTTAACACTACAGCACTTCCCCACAATAGTGGAGAAAGTTGAGTAGAATGTTTAAAGGCTGCATAACAAAATATTATGCTAAGATTTTTTTTTTAATTCATAAAAAACGTTTTAATAACAAGCTTTTATGTTATAATGCACTTAAAAGTAGAAAATAATTTATACACTACTATTTAAATAACTAAAGAAAAGTGTGGGTCTCTTAACTAATTATTAGTAAAGGTATCCATCAGATACTAAAGTGACCCACGCTTTTCTTTATAGTTATTTAAATAGTAGTGTATAAATTATTTTCTACTTTTTAGTGCATTATAACATAAAAGCTTGTTATTAAAACGTTTTTAATGAATTTTTTTTTTTCAGTACTTTAAATTTTTAATGCAATAGAGTTGCATGACTAAAAACCATTGTGCACCTAATGAACATGATAAAGCGTGTATAATTGTGCGGAATAGTTTGATGAGACAGCTTACTAATTTGGACAAAATTGTAATTAATTAAAAAAATATTAAATAGGCAACCAATTAAGTGTTGCATTGTCTTCATGTCTTGACCCACGGGCCAACGATGACATAAATCTGTCAGAAGTGTCCAAAATTTCGCTCGGCGTTTCTATCTAAACAGACAGACTGACCACTGACGAAAGACAGAGGAAGTGAGTTAAATAAAAGCTTGTATAAATTGGCAATTTGATAGAAATTTAAGCGGTATGGATTTCTTAAAAATGTATTGGCCAATCTTGGAAAGCCTTAGTCCATGATAAATATCCAGAATTCGTATTGAAATAGAAGAAAAAATTAATTAAAAAAATGATGATAATTTGATACTCTTCAACTTTTTAATATTAACAACACTGCAATGCTTAAGTTTTAATAATTACACTTATTCACCATTTAAATATTAACTGGGACATTATTACAAGTTATACATCATTTAATCAACTTTAAATCAGGGTTAAGTCCAGTTTTGGGCATTATTTAACTAAAAACACAATGAACTATTTTAAATTTTAAAACAATTGTGTGCTTTTTTGACACTATTACAAGACATATTTACAGTTTTCTTATTTTAAGACTTCTGTGTTGCCTTGTCTTTTACATCTTTCACTTCTTTTCCTCATTAAGTTTACATCAAATGTGCACTGGGCTCAGTTCACTACTTAACTACAACCTAAACTATTAAATGATTGAATGTACATTTCATTGACATTCATTGTTGTTTCAGTGAGAAATTGTATATAGGACTATTATTTTATGGAATGCAACAATGAACATCATCAGTCACTGTAAAGTATAAAGGAAGCTAAACATGAAGTAACCCATTAAATTCATTTGCTTATTCTTTTACCGCGTTTACACTTGCGACATGTATACTATACATGGTTAGAAAAAAAACTTCGCAATAAGTGAGTAGGCTCCCCTATTAACTTATGCCCTATAGTGAAGTTTTTTTTCCTAGAAATGTATAGTATACATGTAGCAAGAGTAAACACAGTATTTAATAGGCTCTTTAAAGTTAATTGATGTTTGATATGTTACATCTTCTTGGATTGTATTATATGGGGGAGCAAGTGGGAGAGAATAGTCATTTAGACAATTATGATTTTCCAAAACACTAATTAAAAAAATTGTAACTTAGATAGTTACTGCCATTTTCAGGAAAAAGAAACAAGACTTTTAGATAAAAATATGTAGCACACAGATGTTCTTAACATTAAATTGATTTGTTTTTTATGCCAAGACACAATGTACCAAACACAAAAAGTAATTTTGTTTTATTTGTAGTGTAGCCTCCTCCCCATCACAATAGGCTGACAAAATGGTTACTGATTCTGATTAACTTATAACTGAGTTTAAATATCCTGGAAAGAGTACATTATACATTCTATGTAGGATTTGCCATAATTATTTTAAAGCTAGGAGAGCTTTAAAAAGTAGGTGAAATATATATGAATGTATAATAATCACTCTTTAGCCCTTAACAATGTAACACTTGTAAAATATAAGAATTTATAATTTATTTAAATCAGAATCTAAATAGTTTACATAACTAATAAAAAATTAATTAATTTTTACTTTTAAAAAAAAATTTGTTCAGAGCAGTTCAACTATTTGACAAAAAATAAAACTAAACCCCATAAAGGTAATTAACTAAAGAAAAAACCTCTTTAATATAGTATAAATGCAGTGATGCCCCTTTCCCAAGTAAAAATTGCTGTACGAGATTATCTGGGGGGGGGGGGGGGGATTTAAATGTGAGATTCATCAAAATCTAGTAAAATGCAAGAATACATTCAGACTTACACAAAGCTAAATCTTGCTCCAACTTGTATGCATGCTGCTCTTGTCTTTCTTTTCTCTAAAAATAAAAATCTTCATATATTAAAATGAAAGACACACAAATAAGTATAGATCAAATTTAAAATTAAGTAGTAAAAAGATTTTCATGATGCTTTAAAACATAAAAAAGTACCCAGTTGAAACTTATAATGTTCATTATAGATTACATTTTAGAAACAATTTCTTCATAATTTGCAAATATTTTATATTTCTATGCATAGAATTTACAACTGTGTGGACGTAGTATATTATATTGCATTTTAAAATTTTATTTGACACCTGTTCCAGAGCTCACTATGTCTTATAACTCAGCATTTGTCCAACTCACCTTCTGTATCAAAATATTTAAAAATTTACCTTTCTTTCTTTCCTTTCATCTCTTGTTTCTACCCTAGTGGGTGGTGGAGTATCTTTGGGATCCTGAAAATAACATGAATGAACTAGTAAAATGCAGCCAATGAAAAATGTTTAGATATTAATTCACGATAACCACTTAAACAAGCCTTTAGAGCATAGCAAGAGTTGGAAGTTTTTTTCTTTTAATTCAACCCTTGAGAGTTTTATGGTGTCATCAATGTATGTGGTCCAGGACTCATTTTTATGACCCCTCATCATGTGGAAACTCACAAAAATTTAGTAGACCTCTACCCCTCAAAACTGACTACAGATTTTTACTGTTTTAATAACAAGCAATGCGCACATAAACTGAAAAAATCCAGTGAGGTAAATAAGTGTTTTAAAGGTATAAATATATTGATTAATTATTTTACCATCACTAATAAAAAATTGCAAACATGTATATATGTGTGTATGTGTGTGTATGTATGTATACATATGTGTCTGTATGTGTCTGTGTATGTATGTGTATGTATGTGTATATATATATATATGTGTATGTATGTATGTATATATATGTGTATGTATGTATGTATATATATATATGTGTATGTATGTGTATGTATATGTGTATTTATGTGTATGTATATGTGTATGTATGTGTATATATATGTGTATGTATGTGTATATATATGTGTATGTATGTGTATATATATGTGTATGTATGTGTATATGTATGTGTATATATATGTGTATGTATGTGTATATATATATGTGTATGTATGTGTGTATATATGTGTATGTATGTGTGTATATATGTGTATGTATGTGTGTATATATGTGTATGTATGTGTGTATGTATGTGTATGTATGTGTGTATGTATATGTATGTATGTGTGTATGTATATGTGTATGTATGTGTATATGTATGTATATGTGTATGTATGTGTATATATGTGTTTGTATGTGTATGTATGTGTATGTATGTGTGTATGTATGTGTGTATGTATGTGTGTATATGTGTATATATGTGTATATATATGTGTATGTATGTATATATATATATATGTGTATATATGTGTATATATGTGTATATATGTGTATATATGTGTATATATATGTGTATATATATGTGTATATATGTATACATATATGCATACATATATGTATATATATATATATATATATATACAGAGAGAGAGAGGGGGGGGGGGATTTTCAAAATAGTGAAGTGTTTTATATGCTGGATAAGAGTTTTTATGTTTTAAAATGTAACTACTTCTATTAAACAAGATAAGACATCCAAATGGGACCCCCCTCCCCCCAGTCCACACGTGGATGTCACAGATGGATGACCTCTAAATGATATTAAAGTATAAAAATCATGTTTAATTCAAAATGAAAAAAATTATAAGGTGTGTTGCTAAACAAAAATGCTGATATGCTGTACATTTTGATCTCACATATACTGCCAACTTTAGTCTTAACAGATAATGACAATCCCTTAAATAAACATGAGGAGTAAGACTCCCAACCATTCAAATAACCCTAAAGCAGACAATGCAAGTTTACATAATTACATTTTTTTTTTCAAGATCTGAAGATAACCGCCAAAATATTTTTTTCTTTAAAGTTGATAAATAAATGACGTAGTTACAGGAATTAAGAACACAGCCTAGTAAACAAAAAGGCATTGCTGTATGATTTGCTTTTCTATCACTTTGGATTAAGGTAAATACGGCAACTCTCCAAGTTACCATACTTCCTCCAGTAAATTGTTTTACGTCAGCAGACACGCTCATGCAACACATACTTAAAGAGAGAAGAGAGAAGCACTAGATCTAGTATTATCGCCACCTGTTATTGCAGTATAAAAGCTATCTTAGATTACATAATACAGTCTCAACAATATTTAATAATGTCTTGTTTAAAAATGACGTAGTGTACTGCACAACGTATAAACACTTTAGGGAAAAAACTTCTAGGAACACACACTGGTGATTATATATATGTATGTATATGTGTATATATATATATATATATATATATATATATATATATATATATATATATATATATATATATATATATATATATATATCACCACACAGTTAAATACATTCTTGTATATAGAAGAGTCTAGTTGGTCTTTAAAGGGCAACGCTATTCAGTATTATAGTTAACGGCAACAATGCGTCCACCTTTACAAGAATATCTATGGTAACAGAGGGAGACTGTTGTATGTTCCGATAAGAAACTAGGCTTCCACGTAACGCCGCAAAAAGGTGGGAACCCACAAGGGGAAAAAATAACACAGGGGTGGGGTGAGCAACACACAACACAGCACGAGGTATGAGAGACGGAAGTGAAGAAAATTTTAGCTACATCGCACGGGGCTGTGTTGCTATGACCGCTGTGTTATTCTTACTGAGGTCACAAAAATGTTTAGCATTTAACGAGAGTAGATTATTACATTCTGTAATTCGTAAGTAGTTTTGTTTTTCATTCTGTCACACGCACACATACACACTTTCCTTTCTCACGCTCTGAAAACATTCAGCCAAATAGGCGCCCACTTACAGCGGCAAGCAAATGAAAATCACATTTACACCATTAAGCGTACCTACTCCAAGCCAAAAATTTCTACCGGTACATCCCTTCACAATACCTTAGATAAGACCTAGCCCATCTTTTCCACGTGCTTGCCTCAAATTAAGTATAGTTAATTAAATACCATGTAGTAATCATTTGTCTGAAAGTTATTATTCTATTTTCATATGTTATTAGAAGCAGTTTGCTAGTTGGGGGGAGTGATAAGAACAAGAAAAGGCACACTGGTTACACAGTAAAACACACTGTAAAATACACAGTAAACTTAGTTGAGTTTCAGTGTTAGAGATAGCGTGAGAAAATAGCGCAGTCCACCTGCAGCACTGAGTTCGGTAGAATTGGGGTTAATTAGCAACGAGCTAAACATGAGGGTCAAGAGCAACTTTCTTTTTAAGAACATTATTGGTAGGTAGATCTATATGTTACAAGACAAAGAAAACTATCATTTCTAAAGTTATCGAAATATACAAGAAAGCATGATAGTAAAGATTAGTAAAGAAAAGAAAAAAAAAAAGAAACACTAAACAAAGAGAAAAGAGCTTAGTATAGCTCACGAAGTATAGGTAATGTTTTGCCAACAGTTCCAAAATAGAATAAAGCATGCGAAAATAGCATATGGATCACAAACGGGCTCACCTCTCTACGCTGTTATTAGCTATACACACACACACAAACACACACACACACATATATATATATATATATATATATATATATATATATATATATATATATATATATATATATATATATATATATATATATATATAGCAGAATTAGATACTTAAATATTTAGATAAATAGACAGACAGATACAGACGCCTAAAATTTAAAAAAAAAGCATGGGAGTATAAAGTAATTTGTATAGCTTCTTTTTTTTAAAACATGAAAACGTGCAGTTATTATTGTGGATTATATTAGGAGATAGTGGAAGTTGGGACATCATCTAGAGGGGTTTGGTATTTAAGGTAATTTAGTGAATTGTAAAGGCAACTCTCAAAATGAATGTCTAAGAAGTTCAACTGTAATTCAGGCCAGATTTAACTTGCGATTAGAAAGTGAGCCCCCAGATCCACTCAGTGCCGGCGCCAGGTTATTTAACGCCCTAGGCAAAACTTATTATAAGCGCCCCCCCCCCCCTCCCCCGCAATTTTTTTCGAGCCCCCGTATTATCAGAGGCGTAGCGACCCTTCCGGCGCCCGGGGACCAACCTTCGATTTGCACACCCCCCCCCCTAATAAAACTTTCGATTTGCACCCCCCCCCCTCAAACTCAAAATTTATTTCTCCAACCCATTTTGCTGCCCCCCCCCCTCTACGGACAGTGCCCTAGGCGACCGCTTAGTTGCCTGATAGGTAGCGCCGGCTCTGATCCCACTTGCTGAAACTGTAGAACAGATGAGAAACGTAGCATGAAAGAAAGAAAGACAAACTTATCCCAAGAGAAACATTTGTACCAAAAACTTCGCCTATCCAAGATAGGTAAGACTTGTTCTTTACGCAATAATATAGAGACACTAATCTTTTAGTGTAACAAATCATTTTCCTTTCGACACTGCCCTAATACACATCAGAATTGTACTGGAATTAGCTAATAAAATGAAAAACCGGAGGCCTAAGATGCGAGCGTTAAGTATTTCAGGATATAAAGCCAACGTTGCTACATAGCTTAATGGATGAAATGGTTTCGCTTAAGTGGACTTTCAGTTAAGTATAGATGGAAATTAACCAACTATAACTCGCCCAATCCATAAGACTATTGTCGATATCGATTAATATGCGAAGAACGTCAAGCCTTTTCTTTGAAGTAAAAAACCTGGTATGGGCAAGATGCCCATTTCAATGAAGCAAAAGCAGCCAGAGAGTATAAAGAAATTGGACGATAACAAATTAACGATAAAAACGGAAAAAAATAACTTTCGTGCCATTAAGTCAGCTAGAACGACCGGTACAATATATATATATATATATATATATATATATATATATATATATATATATATATATATATATATATATATATCTGTATATAACTATATCTATATATATCTATATATATATATATGCCTACATTTCTTGTTATACTATACACATATAAAAAGCGCACACGTGAAACAGACACTACGTCGTCAGGAGTTTATCAGTTTTAGTAATAAGGAAAATCGCGCTGTGCGGATGAAGGCAGCGCCTGTGTTGAATAGCCAAAGAAATCACCTGAGCTGTTCCTCGGGGATGGGGAAGTCGCAGTACTTCCAAGTCATACCAGTAAAATGCACACATGAAACAAACCGGTGCGAATGCCTTATAAAAAAAATAATTAGGCGTTGTTAGTTGGGTTTTTCTATCCTGTGTAAAGAACTTATGAAATCGTATTTTGAACTGATTTCGGCTGGATGTTACCTTTTCTGAAGTTGATGGCTTTGGTGAAGACTCTTACTTTAGGAAACGACGTAAGTGTACACCTACATTTCTTATACCAACCGATTTGTATACATTATATAAAGGCAAAAGCTTTGTTAAATAAGATGTGTGCAAATAGTAACACGAAAATGTTTCATAACTGAAATTATTACAACAACGGCGCAAACTGTTGTTTGGCAAGTAGCATTTCTTCGGTCCATAAAAATCAGAGTCAATTAAACCAATTATTTCATGGACAGGAAATGCTAAGTGTTATGTGTAATTGAAAAATGTAAATTGCAACAAAAAAAAATAGCTATTGACAAAACTTAGTATGTACAGTCCCTGGAAATTGGATATGAAGTAATGCCTTGTACACTGACACATGCTATATTTAAATCAGCATTAACACATATACTCACAGACTATGTATGAGTGTTTATGCTTTTTTTTAAATTAAATATATATATATATATATATATATATATATATATATATATATATATATATATATATATATATATATATATATATGTATTGCTTCATGTCTAACAACTTGCTTTTACGTGCTTCCAACTAAAGGCGAGTACAAACTTCAACGGCAGGCTCACTACTGACGTCACGAATGGACCAATTATGTTCTTGACGTAACCAGCCCATTAGCGACAAACGCTTTCACCTTGTTTTCTGTGATAATAAAACTCACGCCAAACAAAATTGTGCACTTCTTCTCTCTATACAAGTCTTCGTCTTTTACACTTTAAGTTATACCACAGTACGCCATTGCAAAATCCGATTAGCAGGTATAAAAAAAATACTCTGGAAAACACATAGTCCGAGGAGCACACGTTTTCATAGACAATCGACAATTAATGCTTGACCGCGGGAAATTGACGCCAGCACACTTAAGTTTTAACCGTTAACATTTAGGACTAATATTTGGTAAATATAAAACATGACAAGATTATTAAATGACGAACAAATCAGGTCGATTTAATAATGGTTAAAGTAAGCACCTGGCAACTACGCTAGGGTTGCTAGAACAAAAATAGCGCTAGCGCAGATACAGAAGTATCTAAACTAGGAGTAAGCAGGAAATAGTTTTTAAAAGTTTAAAAAAGAGGAAAAACAATTTACATAAAACCACACGTTACTCTTTGAGCATGATCGATTGAATCATCTAGTATTAGCTAAATAAAACCATCGGTCCGTAAAATGTATAACTCGAAATTGTTACTAGATATTAGAAATTATAACTAAACTATAATTTGATTTTATCTTAATGAGCTTGTCAAGATCCTTCGCGTTAAACACTATAGAAGACTATATGTAAATGCAGCAAAAAAAATTCATTAAAAAACGTTTTAATAACAATCTTTTATAATGCACTAAAAAGTAGAAAATAAATTATACTTTACTATTTAAATAACTATAAAGAAAAGCGTGGGTCTCTTCCTAAATATTAGTGAAGGTATCCAATAGATACTAAAGTGACCCACGCTTATCTTTATAGTAATTTAAATAGTAGTGTCTAATATTTAGGAAGAGACCTACGCTTTTCTTTATAGTTATTTAAATATTAGTGTATAATTTATTTTCTACTTTTTAGTGCATTATTACATAAAAGCTTGTAATTAAAACGTTTTTTTTATGAATTTTTTTTCAGTACTTTACATGTTTTATTTACAATAGTTTCATGACTAAAAACCATTGTCAAGTTTATAGCTAAAGTTTCAGTAAAATATTATGGGATGGCGTAGACTAGACTGCTGACCCGACTTCGCGCGCCGATTGAACGTGATGACGCGCTTTTGACGTAGAGCCCTCCCTCGCTGCACGCCCAACACGGCCGTCATGACGCGTGTGGATAGAACTGCCTACTAATTCGGTCAAATTTTAATTAATTCATAAAAAATTAATTAGGCATCCAATGAAGTCAAATTTAATGTCATAATGCATTGTCTTCATGTCTTGACCCACGTACCAATTACGAACCGTATCTGTCAGTTAGAAGTGTCCGAATTTTCGCTCCGGCGTTTCGATCTAGACAGACTGACGACAGAGGACGTGAGTTAAATAATTGCTTGTAAAAAAAGGTCCATGCTTCGGTAAACTAGTTATTTAACAGATGCTAAAGCAGAACAGCCTAGCAATTTAGCTCACACTTTATATACATCTCGGTGTAGTTGCCTACATATACCTTAGTCCAAAGATAGTTCATCAATTAAAAGATTAACCAGAGCTGGATATAATAAAATAAAAAGGACGTATAGGCAACCACTTTTTAATGTATATCTTTCTTGTCATTTTTTGCTTCGAGCTGACATCCAATCTCAGCCATCAATCTTCAGAGCGTGCTTGCGCGGTGTGAAGAAATAGGCTCCAGCAAAAAGAAATTAGCTAAGAAACGAAGTGATGGGGAGAAATTGGTCAGAGTCTGTGCGGCCGTAGCATTAAATGCCTAAATGTTAGAAATAAATTGTGCATCTTGTCAAGCTTTTAACATCTACTTATACCCGATTCTCTTTTTAAGCGAAGCAAGCGTCTAAACCAACACTTTAAGGCAACAGTGTGCATGTCAAGATATCTAAAAGAAAAATTATGAAATTCACGCAAGCGATAGGCCCTAGCATTGATATGTTGATAACTGTTATCTGTCAGTTTATTTTATCTAATAAATGAAGTGAACTATTTTAAACACAACTGTCGTAAATAACTATTATTTTGATTACCAAAAATGGACGAAATGTCAACGGCATGTGTGAACGTAATGAGAATCTAGCCTAGGCATTTGCATGCTTCTTTATATAACCATCACAACCTTTGTAATTAGAACTGCCTCATCTACTGCAGTTATCAGGATTTTTATATATTCTTAATTTGTATATTCCTACAGTCCAAGGACCTCGATGCAGTTGAGTCTCAACGTTTAGAGAGGATCCAAGCAGCCCGACGTATAAAAAGAGTGAAATCAACACACAGTCGAAGATCGTATTCGGCAGACTCAAGAAATGACGAGGGAAGTTCCTCGTCCTGTTTGCCAAATTGTCTACGAAGCCAACGCCGCTCCGACAAAGACCGTTTATACAGGTGATGCCGACAATAATACTTATGTTCCTTTCCAAGCTCACACACCAGAGAAAATCTCTATCCCTATATTTTGTTTTATCTTAGATCAAGACAAGAATCTTCTTGCTCAGATTTTCCATCGCCTGATTCCAACCCTCCCTCATACGATGGTGCATGTAGAGGCCGCTCCCGTTATAACTCAGGAATAGAAGAAAACACTGCTTTACTTGTGGATGTGACCAGCTCACACCGATCGTAAGTTTATTTTTTTTTAAATCAACAAAACGACAAGAATTTAAAAGGGTGCTGTGTGGGCTTAACTATTTTTATTGTTAACATATTGTGCTCTATACAAAGCTGCTGTTAATATGCATCAGCTAACCATATAGATTGATGTCTTGAATGTAACATAGAGATAGTTCAACAACAGCTGTGACATTTACAAGCTACAATTACCAGGCATGCGCCAGGTACTGGGAGTGTTTGCTCATTGATTTGTAGATTTCTTCTCAGATGACAAAAATAGAAAAAATTTATAATCTAGTCAGTGTCTAGAACTGTCTGGTTAGACTAGAGCATTTGTAGAAGAGCATGTACAAAATGTTAAAAGCTAAAGAATAAACCTAATACATGGGAATGACTTTTCGACCAAAATCAAGAGATTGCAATGCACTGTTTGGAAATCATAAAAAGAAAAAACCTCGCATATTTTATTTGGATATTCTTCCAAACAAGTAAGTAGTGATTTAAAGAAAATATCTGCTTGACTAGAACTAGAATATTTTTCAAAAACAAAAAGCGCTATGCAGTTTAAAAAATAAAATTTAGAAAAAGTAAGTTTAAAATCAGAAAAAGAATAAATTACCCAATTATCGAGATACAGATACATATTTAAGTGAGACAGAGACTTTTTAGTCTTTAGAACTGACGACCCAGTATTAAAAAAAAAGGGACCACTATTTTAAAATAGCAAAATCAAATAGTTGGCCTACTACACAAGCAATATAGCCAATAACCCAGAAAATAACTTTAGTCAACTTAGTCCTGCTTATGGCCCTTGGATAAATACTCTTCTAAAGTTTTCTGACTAACCTTATGAACATCAACAATTTCAATAAAAATCATTTTTGATATGGGGAGGGGACAAAATATGCAGTCATTAAGATTACTCTTTTTTTTTTGTTATTTCAAGTTAGGTGCAGCGACAAAATGTTTGGATACCACTAATTTATACTAAAGACATTGTAACTATTTCCTTTAGTACTAATTTCCAAAACGCGTGTATGTTAAAACTACTTTTAAAAGTACTAGTAACTGTTTAACATAAACAAATTAAAAACAGAATAAAAATTAAAAATAAAATCCATTGACACAGTACTGTAAATAAATGCTGAAACAGCAGTTTTTTAAAAGGATACAAAAACATATTAACAGAAAAAGATTTCCTAAAAGTAGTAGATTAGTTCTATTCACTCGTTTACCATGAGAGTTTAGCACAACACAAATGTTTATAATGAATATACACAATCCTGATGCAAAAAAAATTTGATTTGATATTATAATGAAAATTGTTGACTTGTGTATGACCATTATCTCCATTTAAATTTAAAGACCAAAAGCAATTTGGATCTTATTCACATAAAATTTTTTTCTCAAAACCCACAATTTGACATAGTCTGCTGTGCTGGTAACATACCTTTAACACTTAAGATAATGGTAGCTAATCTCTATGGGTGAAGTACTAAGGTGCTTTTAAATGGTTTTTCACAAGATTAACAATGATAAGCTGGGTAAACAAGGAAATGTGATAAGCATTAGCAGTGTACATTAGCCTTAGAATTGACATATTGGTTGATGATCTATATTGGTTTTTATATGCACAAGAATATTTTCTAATTTTATTTGATATCTGATTATTAGACTACTCTAAATAGTAAGAGAAAAACAATACTAGATATACATGTTGTAATAAAGGGGGACTTAACAACTTTTTATAATTGTAAGTGTGTGTGTTTGCCACTCAGTAGGCATGAAAGCCAGTGACCCAGTGTGGGGAGTGATGCAACCCACCCCCCTCCCCAATTGGCAGTGATGCATGTGATACATGTGGCAATATATTCATTATTTCAAAATGTTATAAAAACAAAAACAAATTTCCTGTCTTAAAAATATTTAAATAAACATCATGACTGCACCCCCTCCCCCAATTTCTGTCTTCACCAATGGTGAGTGGAAATTCACAAGTCATGTAAAACTGAATTGTATCAAGTAAACAATTTATGGGGTTTTAGGGTGGATAGGTTAGATTTGAGTGGGCAAATTGAACTCAAGTATTAACTCATTAAAAGATACTTTGAGAATGTTTACTTGTAAGGGTCTCTTTCATATCATTTATAATTAGATTTTGTCATTTTCTAGGGGTTAATATTAAATGCACTGAGCTTAAAAATAAAACAATAGACATAAAAAATAATCATTTAGCGTCACTGGGCCTGATCTAGAGCCTATAAAATAAATTCCAATGAGAGTTTTTAATTTAGCCTAAAAATAAAAAACTAAGCAGGTTGATGATGTGGAATCCAGACTAAAAAAATTTAAATACAGCGCCCCCAACATACAAAAATTTTTTAGACACAAGCAGTCGAAAAAACATTGTTTTGCTTTATTGTAGGACCAAAATTTGCGATAAGTTGAATAGGATATGAGGGTTTCACAGTTCACTCTGAAAAAGTTGCAACCAAATCACAACAATTGTATTTAATGAAACCTTCAAAAACAAACCTTAACAGTGACAGGTTTTTGTACAAATTGTCTACATTAGAAAGTGAGTAAAGCATGGCTTAAAAGATAAAGACCTGTGAAGAGTAAAGCAATCACTAAAATTAAGCCAGTGATAATAACTTATTAAGTAGCAGTAAGTTCACCTATGTGCACTGAATCTTAGCGAAGTTCCATTAAGTATTTAAAAAATGGATAAAGTGAAGCATTAGGAGTCTAATGAGTATGTAAATTAATGAAGTGACAGAAAGAGTTTGGCAATAACAGTGTTGAGAGTAAGTGAACGAAGAATATACACTTTATAAAACATGTATAATTGATACACACTTTATAAAACCAGCTTATTTCTTAACTTTCTCCTTTATGAGTTTAATTAAACATTTGATATTCATAAATATTTCTGATTAAAAGTACATAACAAAAACAACTGAGGTGGCATTCTGGGGACTGGAATGGATTAATGGCATTTTGCTTTTCATCCCATAGCATGCTAGTATCTAGCAAATAAAATTCCAGCCTCCATGAATGAATTTGAATTATAAAATAAAATAATTACTTATTATGCAAAAATCTTAATTGGACAGATGAGAGGCCTCTTAATTAATATGTTGATTAGAATGTCATCTAGCCGCAGACAAAAAGTGACCTCTAACTCTAACAATGGTTGTTTGAGGGGTCCCCATAGGGATGAGTAAAAACACAGCTATTCTTGCAGAACATCTTTAATAATCCATTATTCAATACCAGACTACCAGAGAAATCATATCCCAAAAAATAACTTTTAATTTGAAAAATACAGTTTTTTCATCAGTCATGTGCCAGTCTCAAAATTAAAATGTGAATAGCCAGCAATTTACTTATTTAGAATACTATGGTGCGCAACTCAATGCTAAGCTTTAAAAAATTCTTAACTGATTTGATTCTATTGCAACATTTTCAAATCAGCCGAATATGAATTAATAAATTTTAAAAATGTGTCGTTTAAAACTGCATTTTTAGAACGTAATTAATTTAGTTCTTTTGCTCAGTAAAAAATAGAGGCCCATTAGGATAGGCCATAAAGAAAACTAGCATATCAAAGGGTTTACTGTTACTAAAATTAGATTCTTTAAAAGACCTAGGACCATCTGAGCTGCCTGTAGAGCCTTTTTAGGTAGGCTACTTGCAAATTTAAAAAATAAACCAAATTACATTTGTTGCTGGCAATAATTGGACAAGCAGCCAATTTTAATGTATACTCGCATTAAAATAGCAAAGTGATTCAGCAAGATCAGCTAACTTTTCTTTCATCCTAGGAAGGACACCAACCCCTTTCAACAGAAACCAAAACAATGCAACAACACCAAGCCAATTTTAGGGTTCAGGGGCCATTTCAGGCAGCTAATTCAATCTTGATCACACAAATTTATTTGTACATTTAAAATTTAGGCCTAAGTAAACAAGTGAGTTCAAAAGTTAGCCTAAAATATAGCCTACTAGTAAAGAGATGTAAGATATGCAAATCACAAACCGTAATAACTTATTTCTTCTATTTAGCGGTCCGGACAATTTTACCTAAGGCCCATGTGTGAAAAAATTAGGCCTAGATCTAATTCTAAAGTAATCTAGACTTAAGGCCTTATACTTTAATCTACAAATCTTACTTTTAATTAACGAAGTGTCTATTCCTAGTCGACTGTGAATAGCTATATTAATGCTATTCACAGTGGTGACTGATTTTTATACATTTAATGTTTAAAAAACAAAGCATGAGCATGAATCTGAGTGGTCAAGTGGACACGTGAGTGACTGTCATGCTGGAAAGTGCGGGTTGTAGCAATTATATCACATATGAAAATTTTTAATTTATCCCCGTTTTTCATGAAATGGTTAGGCCTACTTATGTAAAAAAAAAAATTCTTATGTGACATAATTGCTGGCAAATCTTTTTAAAAAATGTAAAATAAAACCTGTCCCCCTTAGATTTTTGGTAAGAGAAAAAACAACTTGGGAAAATTGTGATGGTCATGCTATTTCACCTTGTGAATTTTAAATGATAATTGACAGTTGAATAGCAATGTGAACTACTAACTAAACAGATAAATAGGCCTAATATTATTTATTTAAAAATTACTAGATCTAGATCTATTAGTCTAGTATAGACTTAGAGGGCATAATTGATCATCTACGACCTACGTAGCAGGAAGGAACCTAAAGGCTAAACTAAACTTAGGCCTAATAGGTACTAGGATAAATTTTTAAAATTGGTTTTTTAGGGAAACAACTACTACAGTTAAAAGGAGCAGAAAATTACAATAACAGAACAGTTTTCCTTTTTGATGTAGCTCAAACGGTTAAATAGTTATGATTTTTTTTCGTATTAAAAAATGTGATTTTTTTAACATAGGATTTTTTCAATTTCTGTGATAGAGTTTTTTTAAGCGTTTACTAAAATTGTCCTAGCTTGTAAACCATATGGTCAAATTTTTTATAACTTTGCAATATCTTTATTTATTATATATGGAAGCATAATAAACAATAAAATTAGAAATTTATGGGCAGAGTAAAACAAAAACAGAAGTAGAACAGGGTACCCCCCCTAATTTTTCATATACAGTGCATTCATACAATCTCAGTTAAAATTTTAACTATTCAGAAAATTAAGCTCAAACTTGCTGAGAATGATGAGCTATGGATGTGTCAGTTATTACAATCAAATTAATATTCATAACTGAAAAGATTTTTGTTTTAACTACTACAAAGCTGATAAATTATACAATTTCGCAAAACCGAAGTCTTGTTGATGTGACATGCAACATAATGGCAAATTTGAGTTATTAAGCACTTAAGTCTCAAAATTTGTCTAGCTCAAGATAACTCTATTCTTAAACAGAAGTAATCAAAATATGTGTTTAAATCTATCTGTTTAACAAAAAATAAGGGGTGGAACAGGGTACACCCCCTATTTTTAAATACTAAATTTGTTCATACAATATCAGCTTATGTCCAAACTATTTGAATCTAAAGCTAAAAACTAACCAGAGTGAAGCTCTGAAATAAGTGTGTTTGATGGTTCTATCTAAATAGTTGACAAATAGGTAAAATATGGTAAAAAGGTAAAACGCTGAGTCATCGACGCACCTGACATCATTGAAAAACTGAACTAATATATGTAAAAAAAAATGATGGCAAATTAGATCTATTAGAAATGTAAGGTCTTTTATTTGTATAAATGTAATTAACTTGTAAGTCTACTTATAAATATAGTTTAATTAAAAAAGATGTGTTCTGTCTATTCATTAGTATTTTACATTTCAGAAGAAGTTCAACATTGGACCGGTTGATTTTAAAAAGATATAGAACTAGTTCATATCACTAAACTTTCAATGTACTGCTTCAAAATTTATTTAAGTTATTTAAAAAAATATTACTTAATTTATCTAAATAAAAGATGAACACATTTATTGTAATAGTTTTAATTCCTCTTTACAGTGTTCCCTCATTAGGCCATATAACTGCTCATCATATGGTAGAGATGTGCTGGTTTTTTGAAGTGTAGGTTCTATCTGGAAAAGTAAACAGTACATTATTTGCTTTCACATCAAAATAAATAAAATGGTTTTTCTGAAGACACTAAATATTGAATGTTTATTGCTAATACCGCACCAGACCTTCCCCTTTCCCCCTCCCCCCCCCCTCTACTCCACTACCTTCAATATCAAAACAGCGTTTGCCACTATCGCCGGCGGCAAAACATCGTTCGCCACTATCGCCGGCGGCAAAACATCGTTCGCCACTATTGTCGGCGGCAAAACATCGTTCGCCACTATCGCCGGCGGCAAAACATCGTTCGCCACTATCGCCGGCGGCAAAACATCGTTCGCCACTAATGCCGGCGGCAAAACATCGTTCGCCACTATTGCCGGCGGCAAAACAACGTTCGCCACTATCGCCGGCGGCAAAACATCGTTCGCCACTATCGCCGGCGGCAAAACATCGTTCGTCACTATCGCCGGCGGCAAAACATCGCTCGCCACTATCGCCGGCGGCAAAACATCGCTCGCCACTATTGCCGGCGGCAAAACATCGTTCGCCACTATCGCCGGCGTCAAAACATGGTTCGCCACTATCGCCGGCGGCAAAACATCGTTCGCCCCTATCGCTGGCGTCAAAACATCGCTCGCCGCTATTTTTTTCTATTACCTCCCTTGCCACTTTCGCTATCGTATTGTAAACAAACGTATTTTCTATAGAGGTAACAAAACTGCGCAGCATATAACTTTTGTGCGCTATGTCCAAACAACTTGATTTTTTGAAACAATAGAGAAAAGTGGTGTAGAATTCAAATAATGCAATAAATTTTCTCCTTTTTATAAAAATAAACAGTAGGGAGTAAATTAAACTTACCTTATTTTCACTGAAATACTCCATCTTGAATAATCCATGAACAAAATTAAAAAAACAACAAAAACGCAAAATGTCCATTTTTTTACGAAAAATCGATAATCGCACGAAAATTGATCGGGCGATAACACCGAGCGATAAAAATTACGAAATTATAACACTCGCGTCGCCGCAAATTCTCGGCGTCTGGGTAACGGGGACGAAAAACTCGCCGCGCGGGTTAAAACGAGATGTAATCCTAGTACCTAGGCCTAAACCATAGACCAGGCCTACTAATAATCTTTTAATGAAAATATAACACAGTAAAAATAGCACTGCCTTCTTAATCTATACCCCACTCCCCAGTAACAATAAATGCTTTTGTTATTGTAAGATATTCCCAGTCTTATTTAGCATGAAATGACAGCCTGACTGTGAATAGCCAGGCATATTGGCACTACTCCCAGTCAGCTGTGAATAGCCTAAATGGCTATTCCAAACCAGCTGTGAATTCTAAATTCTCTAGATTCTAAAGGCCTAGGCCTATACCCCTATCTAAATTTTATATCTAAACTAAAACAGATAATTTCTAGAAACTAGATTCTAGATCTCTAGATCTAGACTCTAGATTTAGAATAGGTTACAAAACAAACGCCATTTTGATTCTGAAGTTTCGGTTGAATGAGATAAAATAGGCCTAGGCCCTCAATTATGTAATATCTGATGTTTGAGACACAAAAACAAAGTTTTAAATAATGGAATCCATAGCATATAGAAAGATTCTAATGAGAAAACATATCTAAGCCTTAAATAATTACCTCAAACCCGTCTAAAAAGGAAGAAACTCCTTGGTACGGTACCCTCTTCTTCTCGTGAGGAAGCTTGTCGGCTGGTGGAAGATACGGCAATGGATCTCTCGCCGCAAATAGGGCTAGTAAATTTGGGGGTAGATATTGTGTCATCTTCTTGATCTAATTGTCAGGCTGCACTAAAAATACATTACTTTAAATCCTTATTTGTAACTTGAAATAGTTGCCTTTGTCTAACTAAACTCTCAACAGACGAACAATGTTGTTTTCTTCCGTTTCACGCGGCTTTACCACGTTCCTGGCTGCGCAGGCGAGTGTTAAGTTCCAACCATTGATTTTCACGAAGCAAGTGTATGACGTACTACGCGGTACAGGGTAAAGAGAAATTACAGCAGCAAATTATGGCTGATTCGGTGATAATAAACTTGGAGACTTTTAAAACAACCATTTTATAAAATTATATAAACAGTAGTTTTCATCCTATTTTTCTAGATTTTATTTTGATTATTTACGAATTATTTAGCTTGCGAATGAAAAGGTAAATAAGCTCGCGATTGACTAAAGCGGATTGGTCGATGCTTTAACAGGAATAAACCCCCCTGTTACTTTATTTAGCCACTACCCTCCAGTTTGCCATTTCCAAAACCTCCAAAGGTAAGTAACTCGCTAGTATGCATGTTCGTTTATATAAATTATACGAATAATTTGCAAACTCGTTGACATTCTATGGTGTTGAGGATTCTAAAGCATAGCTAAGTAGTAAAGACCAGTGGACCAATCGGCTGTGTCGAAGCGCCATAGCACACTCGTGTGTGAATCGAGGGCATAAGCAGCGCCGAGCGGTGTCTATTTTTACTTGTAAATCATTAGGCCCACCGCTCACGCTAACATTGCGCGTAAACTCATGTTCTGATGCGAACAGGGACACTTGTTTGATATTTACTATAAAGATCGTCGCTTGTGGTGACACATTTTTCCTTTCGTGTAGTTGGCTTTGGTGATATTTTCTTTTATGTGATAGACAAACAATGTGATAACTGTGGCAGCAAGGATTGCGTTTTATCAATGTGTCAGTTTACAGTTCCAGTGAATCTAATAACAGCGGTACTAAAGTCGCGTGTGACGTCAAAATAATCGATTCCATCCGGGGAACGTAAGAATTATTTATGTCCGCCATATTTGTAGATTTGTTATGATCGCAGGTAGTGATTTTGCACTTATGATGGTACGATACTAAAGAGACAACCATAGGGAGCTTTTGTGAGGGTGGGACTCATGCAGACTGCAACATGGAGGTTGCCATGGCGGGGATCGAGGGGAACGGGGGCCCGGCTGGATACCGGGACTCTTATCATTCCACCCATAGATCACAATTACGATCCTCTAATCTTCCAAATTCCAGGTCCTTTCCCAAGCTGTCAGAGGAAGACAATGCCAATGACGATGGGATGGGCCCACCCGGGAACGACTATGACTGCAGCTGTGAGCGCGTTGTAATCAACGTCAGTGGTCTCCGGTTCGAGACTCAGCTCAAGACGCTCAACCAGTTTCCCGATACGCTACTCGGAAACCCGTTGAAACGAAACCGTTACTACGACCCATTACGCAACGAGTACTTTTTCGACAGAAATCGCCCCAGTTTTGATGCCATTTTGTATTTCTATCAAAGTGGCGGCAGGTTGCGGCGGCCCGTGAACGTTCCATTGGATGTGTTCTCGGAGGAGATCAAATTTTATGAGTTAGGGGAGGGTGCCTTTGAAAGGTACAGGGAGGACGAGGGTTTCATTAAGGAAGAGGAGAAACCGTTGCCTCAGAATGAATTCCAAAGAAGGGTATGGCTGTTATTTGAATACCCTGAAAGCTCAGCTGCAGCAAGACTTTGTGCTATTTTCTCAGTAGTTATTATTCTATTATCCATTGTTATATTCTGCCTAGAGACTTTACCACAATTCAAGCATTACAGGGTTGTCAATGGTACATTCAATGATTCTAAGGAGTCCATTGAAGAGGATGATATTCCAAAGTTTAATGAGCCATTTTTCATCATTGAAACTTGCTGTATTATTTGGTTTACATTTGAGCTGTTGGTCAGGTTTGCATCTTGCCCTGAAAAGTTGGGATTTTTCAAAAACATCATGAACTGCATTGACATTGTGGCCATCATTCCATACTTCATCACTCTGGGCACTGTCGTAGCTGACCAGAGCAAGAGCAATAATCAAGCCATGTCCTTGGCCATCCTCAGGGTGATCCGTCTCGTGCGGGTCTTCAGAATATTTAAACTTTCCAGACACTCTAAAGGTCTTCAGATCCTTGGCCAAACCCTGAAGGCCAGTATGCGTGAGCTGGGACTGCTCATATTTTTCCTATTTATAGGTGTTATATTGTTTTCCAGTGCTGTTTATTTTGCTGAAGCAGATGCAGATCAGACTCATTTCAAAAGTATTCCTGATGCATTTTGGTGGGCTGTGGTCACCATGACCACCGTAGGCTATGGAGATATGATGCCGATTGGAGTATGGGGCAAGCTTGTGGGGTCTCTGTGTGCCATCGCTGGTGTGCTCACCATTGCGCTTCCTGTACCTGTTATTGTGTCTAATTTCAATTACTTTTACCATCGAGAAGGTGAGAACACGGACAAAGGGCAGTACAAGCACGTACAGTCATGCTCAAATTACCCGGAGAAAAAGGATTCTATGGACTCTGAATGTGGTTCTGATATCATGGAAATGGAGGAAGGAAATCACAGCACGCCATTAACTGAAAAAGTGAAAGAGAACCATGCAATCAAGTCCAACAACCCCGGCAGTGACTATGGACTAGAAACTGATGTATGATATAGAGATCACCTGGAACTCCAGTTACTATTTCAGCAGGGGCAGAAGAAGCAACATGACAATGCATCCTTAATTAAATTGTGACATCTTAAATCATGTGGATCCTTGCAATGATTCGATCAAAGAAGATTCATGGCTGTGTCCCCGTCAGTTTGAATAATTCACGTTTCTTTTGTCTTGCCATTTGAACCATTTAATTTTGCCATTTGAGCATTCAATTTGCATGCATTTCCTTGCAACTTACAGTTTCAGTAGATTTCCAGTGTATTTTATTTCAGACTGTATCACTGTACATATATATATATATCTTATAATTTATAGATATTTTTAAATTCCTTTAACTTTGATCATAAAGTAATGAAATACTTTCATGTTTTTTAATCTGATAAAAATGAAAGACATCGAAAGCTTTAAATACTTGTAAAATTTTTTAATGCATTGGACAAAGTAGTTCCTTGGGCTGATATTCTTACTAGCAACAAGAAAGAGATTCAAATGTCCCTTTCTCATCACACCAAACAGTAGGCAAGCAGAACCTAAAATAGGATTAAGCTCATTAGCTGTCCAAAGTGAGGGCATTAGATGTCAGCTAGTTACTATACAACTGCTATGTGCTACCCTAACTTAAACATGTTTTGCTAAACTAAGCTGAAGTTATCTGACCATCTCTTCCTACCAACAAAGTGGGGGATCCTTTTTTAAATAGTTTTCTTGCACACAGCAAGACCTCCAAAAGACATGAACTGTATTTTATATTGTCATAAAAGTTTCTAATTTTATATGACAACCTTTGGTTCTTTTTCCCAGTGAAAACTGTAAACAATTTTATTACTTAGAATTCCAATTTTACAGATAGCTCTATATTTTTTTTAACCACCTATTACTTCCCTTCCCAATTGACTCCCTTTTTTTTACATTGTAATTTATTTTAATGAAAATGACACAGATACAAGTTGTTGTGTTTTTTTTAATTTTTGCATGAAATTTTAAACCAAGCCAAAGTTGTATCCTTATATGAATTTAGAGCAGTTTCTCTTAAGAAGCACATGTTTTTTGTGCATGCATAATAAACGCAAACATGTTTGACAACATGCTGCACTATGGGATAGTTGATTTGATTGGAGCACCTTTCAAACCACTAACTGACAACTTTTGCAAAAGGTGGAGAAGTAATCTATGCACAAACTGTATGGCCATTTTTTTATTTTTTTTTTTTTGCATTTTAAAGAACAAAATCCAAGTCAAGTTTTGTACTAGCCACTGGACCTAATCATCTTGGCTGTGATCACTCTGTTGAATCTTCATCACTGTTGTTAATGTCAGTGATAGCTCAGTCAGCTGTAGTTTTACACTCTAGCCTTTTCTCTATATCTACCAGAATTGCATTTGATTCCTTGCACGTTGTTTTTCTTTTTCTTTTATAAAAATTGCAAGTTTAAGGCCAACAACTGCTCATGTTGACCTTCACAATGGATATTGTATGTTCAGGAGTGATGTATGTATGTACGTAATCTGCTGTGAAATGGATGAGTTTACTTGAAAAAATGTGATGACACAAGTCAGCTAGTGAAGACAAGATTAGGACATGATGGATTGAATAGCTTTCTTCAATCAATCGTTTGAGTCACCAATGCATTGTCATTTGCCCCACTGGAATTCAAAGCGCAGTCAGTGAAAAATCTGATACTTTCACATCAAGTCTTCCTGTATCAATGTTCACTGCAAGGGATTGAAAACCTTTGCATTACCAGTTGCTAACTATGGCTGCAATCTCAAACAGCCTTGGTAACAACAGCTGCCACCTATGGCTGTACTGTCTTACAGCTATGTAACAGATGCCACCTATGGCTGTACCATCTTATAGCTATGTAACAACAGCTGCCACCTATGGCTGTACCATCTTACAGCTATGTAACAGCTGCCACCTATGGCTGTACCATCTTACAGCTATGTAACAACAGCTGCCACCTATGGCTGTACCATCTTACAGCTATGTAACAGCTGCCACCTATGGCTGTACCATCTTACAGCTATGTAACAACAGCTGCCACCTATGGCTGTACCATCTTACAGCTATGTAACAGCTGCCACCTATGGCTGTACCATCTTACAGCTATGTAACAACAGCTGCATGTATGGCTGTACCATCTTACAGCTATGTAACAACAGCTGCATGTATGGCTGTACCATCTGGAAGCACCCACCAAGCATGCTAGCTTCAGCTGTCAGCCATGACACCTCTAGCTGTCAGCCATGACACCTCCAGTTGTCAGCCATCGCCAGACTACCCTCCCACTGTGGTATCCGCTACAGCACCAGCATCAAGGAAACATTCCCCCCTCCCCCACAACATCTACCCACCCCAGACCTGTGAATCAAACTCTAAAGCTGGCTTGAGTTGGGATCCCACTAACATCAAGCCCAAGGGCTGGTACACCACTCAAGTGACAGATGAAGATTTGATACAAGAAACTGTGAGTACCCTTTACCTCAATTCTAATGTTAGATGGCAATATTCATAAGTTAATATCTCTTCTAGTGATTGATGAAGGCAACATCTGTTTGCAGCTAGTGTTCAGTCATACATTCTCTCTTATTGTCCATGCTTCGATCTCATCATGTTTTATGTTTGGCATGATCTTGCAATACTTTATAGTATTCTTCTTCATTTGTTTTTTTTTACCTCTACTATTTTAATGTGACTCTTTGTTTTTTTAAGAGTTACTGCAGTTAAAAAAAATAATTTTAACCATAATCTTTCTGTTGTTATTTTAATGTGACTCTTTGTTTTTTTAAGAGTTACTGCAGTTAAAAAAAATAATTTTAACCATAATCTTTCTGTTGTTATTTTTTTTTCTCAGTTATTCTCAATATCAACTGTAGTGAGTAGTAAATGATTGGTAGACAATTTACCAAGTTTTAACCAATAAGGTCAAATGATATGGACAGATAATTTACTGATGTTAAAACTCTCTGGTCAAATATGTCCATATAGAAGATTTGTTTAAGTCCAGTTAACTGTATCACTTTAAAAAAACATTGCAATCTCTGCTATTATTTGTTTTATAACATGCAATAGTTACTAATGAAGTAACTAATGAAGAATAAACAGTAATTAATCTTTATACATATTTTTTTTCTAAAAGTAATTGTAAGGGCTACATCCACCTCATTAAGATAAGAATTATATTTGACTTGAAAAGATTAAAATTCCTTTTAATTGAATGTTTTAAACAGTCAGAGGATGATAGCAATGTTAATATTTCAGTTTACTGGCTAGGCAATAATTGTAGGTAGAGATTCAGTTTCCTTTACTTGCTAGGCAATAATTGTAGGCAGAGTTTCAGTTTCCTTTACTTGCTAGGCAATCAGTGTAGGCAGAGATTCATTTTCCTTTACTTGCTAGGCAATAATTGTAGGTAGAGATTCAGTTTCCTTTACTTGCTAGGCAATAATTGTAGGCAGAGTTTCAGTTTCCTTTACTTGCTAGGCAATCAGTGTAGGCAGAGATTCAGTTTCCTTTACTTGCTAGGCAATCAGTGTAGGCAGAGAATCACCATTGCATTAGCTGTTGTGGGTGTCTGTTACAAATAAATAAAATTAAAATGCTAGCTAGTGCATTCGTATTGATTTTACATTTTGGTGTAGCCAATAAAATCAATTATCTGAATAAAAGGCTGTTTTTTAACCTAGCTACAACCTACCCCCTCGCCAGCTAGTGGGGCCTATGATACTGTATCACACACTTCGGGCAGAGTTTCTTTCAAATATTTCCATGGCCCCCTACCAGACGATATGGAAAAAAATATTTTATTTAGAAAAAAATATCGATACTGAACTAACTGTACGAAAGAGGGCACTTACAGAACGTTTATGTATCGATACTGCATCACACTGTACGAAAGGGGGGGGGGGGGCACTTACAGACGATATTTATATCGATAATGAATGACAGTATACTAAGGGGGGGGGGCACTAACAGACCATTTATGTATCGATACTGCGTCACACTGTACCTGCCAGGCGTGTGATTTTCACGAGTTTTTTCTTACCTGCAGCAATCAAAGCATACAATCATAATCATACCTGTATTGATTGGTTGTTCCCCGTCCCTAGTTGTTAATGGGTTAATTAGTCTATGCCCATAGCTCTAATTTGTGGATATACAGTACAAAAATCGATTCGACTATTCAGAGGAAGTGATCATGTAAAAAAAAAGGAATTTTATTTTCTCTGGGTGGCTTGCTTGTTGTTGGGGGGGGGGGGGGGGGTGAAGAACGACTTAACTGTGGTCTACCGTTGAGTCTTACTTAGAGAATTTTAACAGGATATACCAGCTTAGGGTAGCTTTCATACGGTAATCTTTTGTCGTAAAGTTTATAACGTGCATTATAAGTTAATACGTTAGCCGTGCATCATACGGTAATATGTTAGCCGTGCATCATACGGTAATACTTTGTCGCAAAGCTGTCTGATTTTGATTTGAAAATGATCGTCCTCTGATCGTGTTGAGACAATAGTCAACCGACAGTCTCTTTTATTCTAGTATATCTAGATTTACATTGGGTAGGGTTGTTTGTGCCGACGGTCTTAGGAAGCTGCTGTGGTCGATGTTGTAAGCTGTTGGACGGTGTATGGTTGATTGTGGTAGCTACCGTGGTCGATGTTGTAAGCTGTTAGACGGTGTATTGTTGATTGTGGTAGCTACCGTGGTCGATGTTGTAAGCTGTTGGACGGTGTATGGTTGATTGTGGTAGCTACCGTGGTCGATGTTGTAAGCTGTTGGACGGTGTATGGTTGATTGTGGTAGCTACCGTGGTCGATGTTGTAAGTTGTTAGACGGTGTATGGTTGATTGTGGTAGCTACCGTGGTCGATGTTGTAAGCTGTTGGACGGTGTATGGTTGATTGTGGTAGCTACCGTGGTCGATGTTGTAAGCTGTTGGACGGTGTATGGTTGATTGTGGTAGCTACCGTGGTCGATGTTGTAAGCTGTTGGACGGTGTATGGTTGATTGTGGTAGCTACCGTGGTCGATGTTGTAAGTTGTTAGACGGTGTATGGTTGATTGTGGTAGCTACCGTGGTAGACGTTGAGACGGTGTATGGTTGATTGTGGTAGCTACCGTGGTCGATGTGGTAGACGTTGAGACGCTGTATGGTTGATTGTGGTAGCTACCGTGGTCGATGTGGTAGACGTTGAGACGCTGTATGGTTGATTGTGGTAGCTACCGTGGTCGATGTTATAAGCTGTGAGACGCTGTAATAATTTCTCTGTTGTGTTTGATCGGTTTCCAAAAGCCGAGCTGGCTTGGCGGCCATGTTGCCAACATTACAGAGCCGCTTTATCCCTGGATGTACATCGAAAAGACCGGAACTGCCTCCACAGGGAGTATGACGTCATGCCGAATACCGTACTTATATTGATGATATGTTAGGAGTCAGTATTGATATGTGCAACTCCCAAATGTATACGGCTGGCATCATGCAAAACGTCGATTAGACGCGTCACGCGAGTCAACGGCGGAAACATGCATGCAAGTCACTAACTGCTGGAACAGTCTTGTACAGTAGTAGGACTTGCTGAATACTTGTGACCATTAACAATATTCATGCATTTCGTAAAATGCCTAGTTTCACACCCTACCCAACTTTCCTCTAGTTTGATGCCTAGCTTCACACCCTACCCAACTTTCCTCTAGTTTGATGCCTAGCTTGATTCCCTACCCAACTTTCCTCTAGTTGAATGCCTAGCTTCACTCCCTCCCTACCCAACTTTCCTCTAGTTTAATGCCTAGCTTCACTCCCTACCCAACTTTCCTCTAGTTGAATGCCTAGCTTCACTCCCTACCCAACTTTCCTCTAGTTTGATGCCTAGCTTCACCCCCTCCCTACCCAACTTTCCTCTAATTGAATGCCTAGCTTCACCCCCTCCCTACCCAACTTTCCTCTAGTTTAATGCCTAGCTTCACTCCCTACCCAACTTTCCTCTAGATTAATGCCTAGCTTCACCCCCTACCCAACTTTCCTCTAGTTGAATGCCTAGCTTCACCCCCTACCCAACTTTACTCTAGTTGAATGCCTAGCTTCACCCCCTCCCTACCCAACTTTCCTCTAGTTTAATGCCTAGCTTCACTCCCTACCCAACTTTCCTCTAGTTGAATGCCTAGCTTCACTCCCTGTCCAACTTTCCTCTAGTTAAATGCCTAGCTTCACTCCCTACCCAACTTTCCTCTAGTTTGATGCCTAGCTTCACCCCCTCCCTACCCAACTTTCCTCTAATTGAATGCCTAGCTTCACCCCCTCCCTACCCAACTTTCCTCTAGTTTAATGCCTAGCTTCACTCCCTACCCAACTTTCCTCTAGTTTAATGCCTAGCTTCACTCCCTACCCAACTTTCCTCTAGTTTAATGCCTAGCTTCACCCCCTACCCAACTTTCCTCTAGTTGAATGCCTAGCTTCACCCCCTACCCAACTTTCCTCTAGTTGAATGCCTAGCTTCACTCCCTACCCAACTTTCCTCTAGTTGAATGCCTAGCTTCACTCCCTACCCAACTTTCCTCTAGTTTAATGCCTAGCTTCACCCCCTACCCAACTTTCCTCTAGTTTAATGCCTAGCTTCACTCTCTCCCTACCCAACTTTACTCTAGTTGAATGCCTAGCTTCACACCCTACCCAACTTTCCTCTAGATTAATGCCTAGCTTCACCCCCTACCCAACTTTCCTCTAGTTGAATGCCTAGCTTCACTCCCTACCCAACTTTCCTCTAGTTGAATGCCTAGCTTCACTCCCTACCCAACTTTCCTCTAGTTGAATGCCTAGCTTCACACCCTACTCAACTTTCCTCCAGTTGAATGCCTAGCTTCACTCCCTACCCAACTTTCCTCTAGTTGAATGCCTAGCTTCACTCCCTACCCAACTTTCCTCTAGTTGAATGCCTAGCTTCACACCCTACCCAACTTTCCTCTAGTTGAATGCCTAGCTTCACACCCTACCCAACTTTCCTCTAGTTGAATGCCTAGCTTCACACCCTACTCAACTTTCCTCTAGTTGAATGCCTAGCTTCACACCCTACCCAACTTTCCTCTAGTTGAATGCCTAGCTGCACTCTCTCTGCCCAATCTTTCTAACAGGTCTCTGCCTCCTGGCATATTGGGATTTAAATTTAAAAAGTACTTCGTTTAGATCTTTTAAAAGCACATTACTTGCAATGCAATGTTTTTCGTCTAAATTCAGAATCATATTTTTGTATTTTTCAGCCATAGCAGCTTTTGTCTTTCGGGGGGGAGGGGGGGGGGGGTGTAATTGATCTCGTGAAAATGTTTGTTCTGATCTTCCAACAGCGGAGCAGGCACAGTGTAATATCGAATTATGACTGCTTTTGTGTCTTCCGCTGGCTATTTATAGACAGCTCCCAGCAAGTAATTACCTAATTAAAGCGTGTTTGATCTCAAATTGGGCGAGGGGAAAAAAACAA